AGCTTTGTCTTTGGTCTATGCTGGAGTACATCATCTCTTTCTTCTTTCTTAATTCTTCTTCTTCTTCTTTCCCTCTCTCTCCTCTCAAGTTCTTTCATTTCTTTTGCAATTGGACGGCATTGGGCTCAAGTTCATTCATTTCTTTTCGCAATTGGACAACATTGTACTTTCTGATGATTGTGGACTTCAAAAGTGGCCAGGATCGTAACAGTAGACAAAAACCCTCCAGTCCCAATCATGCCCTTCAGTCCCAAGATTGACACCATCTCTCTCACCCCCTCAGTCCCAATCATGCCCTTCAGGTTCAACAAGGAAAGGGGCGAATGGTAGATTGCAGTCCAATCTTCCCTGACTATGGTCACAACGCAAGAGACTGAGAAAGTACCCCACCTCATAAGAGCTAACATCTCATCCCAACGTCCTCTACTCATGTACAAGATTTGGCAGGGCAAAAAACTGGAGGTAGTATGGGATGGTGACAGCGGAGCACCACATTTCAAAGACTGGAGTCCAATCATAGCAAATTATGACCAGCACCTAAGCGAAGCGTGCGAGCGCGAGCCTAAGCGGGCGAGCCTAGCGTGCGCTCAAACCCCCCCAGCGCGCCCTCAAAAGCGCTCAACCATGTTTCGGGCTCGCGCACACACCAAAACATGAGCGCTCGCACCTGGCGGGGGCCCGCACCTGGAGGGGAACGCATGGGGGGGTTTGCGCCAAGAAAAAAATAATTGGGGGGGGGAGGAGGGGGTTGGGTGGGTGGTGGAGGGGTTCCAAGGGTTGTTTTGGGGGTTTGGTGTCTGAGGTTTGTGAAACATCGGTGCTAATATTCTTTAGGATTTCTGGGAATTTAGTGAATATGTCCTCTTTTTGGTTTATCTTTGTTTGGGAATTAAGTATGTTTGCTAATTCGGTCTGGAAGGCTTGGCTGGTTAGTAATGCATGTTGAAGTGATAGAAACTTTTTCCATTGTATCCGGTTTTGGTGAAACTAAGGGTGAGTGTGATTGCTTTATGGTCTAGACCCTTGTAGTGGGGGTTATATTTTATTCTGCAGTCCAGGATAGCACTTGATAGAGAATCTTAGGTGAGCAAGAAATCTTGTCTTGACAACGGTTCTTCCCAGGGTGTTTTTTCTGACACAGGAGTTAGGAGACAATATGGGTCTATCAGGTTCCTCCTTGTGATGAAGTCCCCTAGACCTATGTTGTTGGATTGTGATACGGTGTCCTGTGAATTACAAATTCTACCCAATAGAGTTCCAATATCCCATGTTGATGGTGTGACTATGAGTGGGGATTAGTTGTTCTAAGGAGAGGAGGAAGGTTTTTTTTTCCTATGGCGTGTTCAGACCGTATATGCCTAGGATGGTTATGTCTCCTGCTTTGAGTTTGATATCAGTTTTGACCTATCTGCCTGCCATGTCGTCTTGGCTTGAGGTTTGAACTGTTATGCTGTCACTTGAGGCAGATTTTTGGTGGAAGAGGATGACCGTTCCTGCGGAGCCATTTGATGCTGCGCTGGCCCAGACTGTGAATTTGACAAAATGCAATTTCTTTAGAATTGCCGTTCGGATTGTCTTGTGTTCATCACTATTAGTGAGGTGTGTTTCCTGTATGCATGTTATATCTGGGGGATTTTGAACAAACCAATCAATGGTTTCCATCAGATTTCTCCATTTGATTGGGTTGTCCAAAATGGATGCTAAGCCATTGACATTCCATGACAATATGGATAATTCTGGTTGTTTTCTGATTTCCTTTTTGTGGTTGGTTTGAATCTCTCTGAATTGCATCCAGCCCCTCTATCTCGGGAACCATCTGACAAGGTTTCCATTGGAGTGTGAAATGGTTATCCTCGATTTGGGGCTGGTGGTGTGTTTAGGAGGCAACATTGGAAGTTCTCCTCTCCTCCCTCTTCTCCCTTTCCAACTTTGCCCTCTCCAAAGGTTCTCCTCGCTTTTTCCTAGCCATTCCTGTCTAATGAACTCGACAATGATGTATGCCATTCTGTCCACTTCCTCCTTGTGTCCCAAGAGAAAAAAGGGATTTTGCAAATTAGTTCCCTGGTTTCTGTTACAGGTCGCCCTCAGGACAGCATGCTGGTCTGCTTTACCGCGCTGATTGAGCGCGGGGTCGGAGCTCAAATTTTTGAGTTCCGCTCAATCCCGCACTCAAAAGCGCTTGAGTGAGGTTTGAGCGGGCGCTGGAATAGTGTTTTTCCTGGAAAAGAACAAGCAAAAAAAAAATTAAAAAAATATATGGTTGTCGATATTTTTTAGATCTACAACCTCATGTTTTTTATTCTATTTTTTGAAGTTTCTCTATATTTAAAAAAAAAAAACTAAAACTGTAAAACATTAAAAAAAAAAAAAAAAAACAATATGAAATGTATGGTTTTTTTTTTTTCACAGAGATTTGTTTTTGGGCGAGCAATAAACAAAAATAATAATAATAAATATAGGCTTGTAGATCTTTTGGAGATCTACGAGCCCATATTTTTTATTTTTTATCAAATTTAATGTGTATTTTAAAAAATAAAAAAACATAAAACGAGAAAAAAAAGACACTCATACATGCGCTAGCGCGCGCGCGCACACACACTCACACACACACACACACACACACACACACACACAATCAGTTTTATGTTTGTCAGTCTTTCTTCTATTATATGTCCTCCCCTTGATTTTTTCTATATATTTTTTTGTATCCCCAAGTAGTGCCAAACACTCGGTGGTTCCTCGTTTGGAGTACCTACTGCACTCTTATGGGGGCCGCTCGTTCGGGATGTCTGTGTTGCCCGTAGGTGATGACGGATGGTCGTCGGAGTGGCCCCCTGGCTCAGCGGGTGGTGGGAACCAACAGTCTACGGGGTTCTATCGTGATGTGAGTAGGTCATGTGCTGTTTTGCTCCGTGTTGGATGTGTAGACTGTCTTGTCTGCGCTCTGCCGCGGTCTTGCTGCCCATGCCGCTTGCTTTGCGGGTCGTCCTCGCTGCTCTGCTGCCTTGCCGCCTACCCGCGGGTCGTGCCTCCCGTGTCTTTTGCTAGCGTGCCTTGTGGCGGTGCCTCGAGCTTCGCTGCACGGTTGTTGAGCTGCCTGTCCGTGGGCTCTGTCGGCCTTCAGTGTCCTTTGCGTGCATGCCTTGTTGGTGGTGCCTTGTGCTTCACTGCACGGTGGCCAAGCTGCTCGTCTGCTTGCCCTGTTGGCCTTCCGCGTCCTTTACTTGCTTGCGTGCTTTGTAGTGTCGTCGCCTTGCTGATGTTGCCTTGCGCTTCACCGCACGGTTGCCGAGCTGCTCGTCTGTTTGCCCTGTCGTTCCTTGCAGTCGTCTTTGGTGATAAGCGGTTGGGCTGCCTCTACTGTGTTGCCTGGTGCTCCACAGGGTTGCTGCCCGCTGCTATGTCCCGCTTGGGGACAGTCTGCCTTCAACATGGGTCAAAGGGTTCATGACCCAAATCATCAAATACGGGGATTCCGCAGATGGTCGAGGGTTCAGCCTCCTGATGAGTCGGTGCAACTCCGACGAAACAATCTATCATCATCAATTTTTATTTTTTATTTTTTGTTTTTTGTTTTTTATTTTTTATTTTTTATTTTTTATTTTTTATTTTTTTCGGTCTTTGTTTCTTGCCTTGTGCTGTTTGTTTGCCCACCCTCCTCCCCTCTGCCCTCCAGCCTATCCTTTGCTGTTTTCTATTCTTCTGACCGCTTTGTTGTTTTTCGATACTTGTACTTATGCCCTCCCGCCTCCCCCATATGTTTCAGCCTATGTGCTGCCTCACTGCTTGTTCCTCCTCTCATGCCTCTAAGTTCATGTGCCTCCCCCATGCGTTTCACCCTATGTGCTGCCTCGCTGTTTGTTCCTCCTCTCGTGCCTCTTAAGTTCATGTGTCGTGTTGTGGTTTGTCATGCTATGGTGTTGGTTCCCTGCCCTTTGCCTTGCTGTCCTTTGCCTTCCCCCCTTCCCTCCGTTTGTTTGTGGGGTGTTATTGCGTGTGTTCTGGTCTGTCTGAAAAAGAGTAGGCGCCACCCACCCCCCTCATTTTGTCTTACTGCCTTCGCATATTTGGCTGCTTTCGACTTTACGGCCCTTCAAATAAGTACCCTCGCCACAAATGGACACACGAGTGGTTTTACCCCGCCGCGTTGAAAGATCGCCTCCCGCGTCTTGCTTTTTTGCTCACAGTGTGCCGACGCTTTTGGTCGGAGTAGCACGAGTATGAAGTGTCGTGCTCGTGTGAAACTCATGTGACACACACATGCTACACACACACATATATATATATGTATGTGTGTGTGGTGTGTGTGTGTGTGTGTGTGTGTGTGTGTGTGTATGTGTGTGTATGTGTGTGTGTGTGTGGCTGATAGCTGGCATGTACTGGCGCTTTAAGCTCCTGTCAAGTATACAGGAACTGGAAATAGATCCAACAGAATGGTCCTGAAGCATTCCTAGTCGTCTCTCCACCATACCACGCCGTCATAAACTCCCTGATTACCAGCCCAAACTAGGCTACAGTCTCTTCTCAAAACCCACCTCAATAACCAATCCACTGCAAAAAAGATGGGGAAGAGTTGAAAACACACTTACCGAATCCCAAGTAATCCTACCTTGGCCAGCAATTTTCTGTACCAGACCAGTGAAACTAGCCAGCTTACGATGGCTGATAGCTTTCAGAGCTGTTCTGGTAAACCAGTGGCTGGCACAAAGACGCAGCAGGGAATGCAGAACATAAAAAGACTCTTGGTGCAAAGTCTGTAACTTTCAGACCTCGGAAACACTAAACCACTGCTGCATTGACTGTCCAGAGGCCAGGAACCTATGGCATGAAATAGAGCGCACTTGGAGCACCCTCTCTAACAAGTCAATCATGGTAAGGCCCAACGCAGTATTCCTAGAACTGAAACAATCCCCCCCCCTCAAAGGTTTCAAAGATGTCTTCTTCTCCCTCATCAGAAAAGCAATCCTTTGGGGATTATGGAAAAGATGATGTGATAAAACCTTTGAAGACCATCCCACCAACCCCGAGAAACCAATCATCACAATAAAGCACGTAATAGAAACACAACTGCACACACATTGGCCCAAAAACAAATAAAAAACACCCCCGACAAAAAAAACAGAAATAAATTCAAATAATCCAAAAACTCTCAACCCAAAAAACTAGGATCAGGGTACCTAGGAACAATTAAAAATGATACTTCAACCCTTAAGAACCGTTAATCCTTTCACCCTCGTGTAACAACAACAACCCCATTCTACTCACAACAACCCAGACCCCACCACAAACTAACCCGCACCAAGCTCCCAACACCCATCCTACGCAGCCCCATCAATAATAATCATAATCCCCCCGACACAACCAATCCGCACATCGTCTCCACTCACCAAAGCTCAAAAGCAATTTCATAACCCCAGCAAACCTATCTCACAAAACCCTTCCCAACATCCGAGATGTCAGAGCTTCTAGCCAACAAGAAAGACCAAAAGAGATCACTCCACAGCCTACTCGATTATCCTCCCCTTTAATCAAGCCACTCCAGCACCTATATCAACCCCCCAGAACCGTACCCTATATCTCAAATAGCCCACCCTATACCCCATTCCTCCCCATGCTTAAATAGACACAAACACTCATATCCACACCACCTTAAAGGTAAGATATTATCTATCTTCTAATATTATCTATCTTCTAGGGTGTAGGATCCCAGAAGGTTCCAAAAACTAGGATAGGTCTTCATGCGACAGCAAGGAGCACTTTAACCAAACGCGACACAACAGGGTTTAGGGTTTTAGCGTAGACCACCGAAAGAGGCTCTATCAGCGGTTCTAGAGGATAAGGAATACCCGACAGTCAAGGGACTGAGAGGAACTGGCTGGTCAGATCCCAAATAGACAAACTGCCAGCTCCGAGACATTAGGACAACCAGATTAGCATTCAAGTACAGAAGTAAATTAGTACAGGCTGAATTAGGCAGGGGTGAGGGAGGGTATATCCTTCCTGCGGGAAGTAATGCCGTCCGTCGAACCTTCCCACCATAAGGGGGAGGAGCATGTCTGAGTACTCTTTGTAATCCCTTCTGACTTGCCGGTGGAATAGGAACTGGACTGACTCTCCCCAGAATGGAAAAGGAGCCAGAACCATAAGGTTCTGTTTAAAAAAAAAAAAAAAAAAACTTAGAAGCTAGGCTGTTTCCCCGGCGCCCGGGCACCCAACTTGTGCCCAGATACACGCCCGGGCATGACCCCCGGGCAGGGTCCCGGACAGCCCCAGCGCAAAAAAATAAAAAATTTGAAAATTTGAAAAAATCCAAAAACAAACCGGAAAAAAAATGGTGTGTAGAATTGCAATACAAACAACTTTTGACTGAGGGTCACATTAGAATTCCTCACGCAACAGATGATCAACTAGGCTATCAACTACAATCTTAAGTCTACTGTGCTAGATGGGATTCACTGTGCACCCTCATGAAGACCTGTAGTAGCATGTTCATACCTACCTCCCGGAGTCCCCGTGCAATCGGGCTCGCACGGCGTCTGCTTCAACCACGGCTGAGCAAGGGGGTCTGCTTAGCCTGGGTGCCTGCAACCGCTGTCTGGTCAGTTAACCCGCCAAGATGGTGATGGGTGATCTTCCTGGGCGGTTAACACTAGGGTAGGACAGGGGGGATGGGGTTGCGCCAGGGCAAAAAGATGAGAGGAAGGCTGGGTGGGGTCTTCAGAGGGGTTCATCTGGACAACCGGGCTGATTACTGTGGGTGACTGTCATCTGTCTGGTATCCCACCTCTACAACAAACTGGGCTTTCATAACCAAAAAAAAAAAAAAAAAGAAAAAAAAAACGAATCACACTAAAGCACCCCCCTAAACCCCTTTAGCCCCTTCAAAACCAATTTATATCCCCCTTCCCCTGCCTTGACAGCCAGCACTCAAAAAACGAAATGAGCCCGGATTTGGGCTCCTCTCGGAGAGCGCGGAAAACCCACACCGCCAATTTTTTTTTTTTTTCCCCAATGCCCGGGTATCCCGGTCGTAAGACCCCCCCAGGCATCACGCCTGGGTGACGCGCAACCTCACGCCCCGGTGCTGTCTTCCGTTCGGAGTGCTGAGTGTGGGGAAAAGAGGCCCAGAAAAACAGCAAGATGGGGGTGTGCCAAGGATTTTTGGAAATTGAGTGTGGGGACACAGACAGAACTGAAATCCCCCGTGACGGTCCGATGAAGTGAGTTGGTTGCTTTTCGCGCGTTGCAGAATGCGCGCGCGAATTCGGCGCGAAAGGAGAGAGGAATACAAACTTAATCCAAAAAGTATTGTCGTACTTCCCACCGTGCTACAGCCCTTCGTTTAGAGCAAAAAGGCTTCGGCACGCTTCGCGTGTCTCGCTTGCGTATTAAGTCACGGCGTCGCTCGCTGGTCAGTTCTGAGTCCGANAAAAGGCTTCGGCACGCTTCGCGTGTCTCGCTTGCGTATTAAGTCACGGCGTCGCTCGCTGGTCAGTTCTGAGTCCGACGTGGAGGGTCTCAGTCATGTGGCTCTTTCTCTATGTTCGTCGTCGTTCCGTATACGGTAGTGAAAGCCCTTGGATTCGTAGCGCTCGAAACGCTGGCACTCAGTGCACAGGGTGCGAGGCCAGTGGGGTTCCACTGTCGTCCACGGAATGACGATCAACTTGTTAAAGGGCAATAATACCGAGTAAGGCGGAAAGTGAGTATCGATAATGACAAATCCAGCATCCACAAATCCTGAGCAACGATTTTTGGGAGGGAAGTAATACCGTCCGCCGATCCGTGCGACAACTTCTCGTACGTCCCACTCGCATACACGTGTCCTTTCCTCGTCGTAAGGAAAAGGTCGCGTCGGCACGGGAGATACGGGAGGCTGGCGCCCGATCGAAGGGCGTTCGTCAGTCCACATATCAATCAATTGCAAAAACCCCGAGACGTCATAAAAAAAAACGACAACCAATCAATTCTTTTCGACACGAGAGAGGGGGCGCTTATCAGTTTTGATCATGCACTTAACTGAGGGACCGACCCGCGACTCGGGTTTAGTAAGACGACGCGGCGTTGATCCGAGGCACCTTGTTTCTCGAGGCTGCCCTGTATATCGGTTGCAGACGTCGTACAACATAAGGCAGATAGCATGCGCAGTGCATTCAGAGCCACAAATCTAAACATTCTTGCATTCTCAAACAAAATGCCATCGAGCGTCAAGTCTAATCAATGCAAAAAGACGAGCATCTACATACATACATCCACTGCGGAAGGTGCGAAAATGACCAGAGGTGCACAGGTCAGAAATCAACCGAGAAAACTGTACACAAGCATCCACCATTCACTAATGGAAGAGTTCTGGAAGAAGTTCATTCGCACAGGAAAACACATAGAGTCATTCTTATTCACGGGGAGGACAACTCACGACACAACGTCATTCAACTCAAAGGGAGGGGGAGATGTCGAGACAGGAGATACGGAGATCTGAAAGAGGACATTCAGCATTGCAGCCGTGCACTCACACCAGAAGATAAAGATCCGCAACAACAAAGGCGCTTTCGCCCTGAATTTCCAATATGGCCCCGGGCCAGTCACTCACTCAACTCCAATCAACGATCCTCATACCCGCACGGACGATCCCGACCGTCGCATGCCAACTTCCGTGACTGCGATCGTCACCCCGCTGACGCAAACTCGACGCGGTTCGCCCAGATCCCACAGTCCGTCGTGGCGATCAAGCACGCAACCAGCCAGCCTATCGTCAGCCCGACAGGACTTTCCGACTCGCACAAACACTTCGCCTAGCCACTGCTTCCCGGAAGCTAGCTTGGGAGTCGAGAACGTAAGAGGGCTTTGCGGACGCGCTTGCAAAATTTATAGTTGTGAGAAGGAGGATAAGGGAGGGAGAAGGCAGGGGGAAAGTCGAGGTGTAAGAGAAGAGGCAGGAGGAGGAGACTTAGCGGGGAGCGCGCTGCAGAAGCCATGTTGATCCTTCAGAACCCAATGGTCGGCCAATCAGATTCGTCGCGCAATAGGAAGATCCTCTTACTCAACGCGTCTGATTGGTGAGCCGGGGTGATTGGAGGATCAACCGGGCTTCGTGAGCCAAGGTCGATGAGCGGGAAGAGATGAAGCGCGAGAAGCAGCGCGAGACGAGTCCAAGATTCAGTCGATCAAGAAAGGGAAGCAAGCGCGCAAAAAAGCAGAGAGGGAAAAACAGTTGCGATAGGAGAAGGAGAAGAGAAGGAAGGGAGAGTGCGGGGGATGGCGCGGGAAATAAGGAGGAGGATGCTCGCATGCGCGGTGCCGACAGCAAGAGAAAAAGGCACCGAAACAATTACAGCTTGCCTATATCCTACACCGGTTTAAAAATTAAAATCACCATATCCACGCGCGAAAGTCGACGCGGGAAAAGAAAGTCCTATGCCTATCCGTATTCTCGCAAAATTCCTAGAGTTTTCTCCGACGTGACGGAGAACATTCATGCAAGGAAAAAGATACGTCGGGCTCCGCTTATTCCGTAATTCCTAACTGTCGAGCCCGATTCCCAGTGCGCTCGCTAAGGCGCGCGAAATTTCCCGTGCATTTCCCGAATTGCAAAAAAGGCAGAATTCCAAAAATCAATAGCTTCTTCCGAAAAATGGGGGCCCAAACAAGGCGCCTGAAATCAAGAAAAGCGACGAGGGTTTTGTGGGGTCGGTATGGTACACAAGGGCCCAAGGGGGTATTGGGCCAAGGGGGTACGAAAGATAGCGCGGGGTCGGGAAGTAGTTCGTCACATATGTGACGCGCAGGGGGTTCCAAAATTGTGCGATCTCCTAATTGCATGAAAGCTTGAACAAAGGGAGGGGACGAAGAAACAGGAAGAAGTACAAGGAACGAAGAAGCAAGGCGAAGTAGGAGCTTGGATCAGCATGATGAGATGGCGACAACATCCGTGGCAAGATCTTTGTGGATCGCGCCGGCTCGTGCGGTTTCGGATCCTGCTCTCTGCAGCCCTGTCATATGCAACCCCCTGTCCTTCGAGCTTCGGAGATCATCCAGGTGGCACCATCATGGTCCATCAGATCTCCATATATTCTGCACCCCCAGTCCAGCGCAGTCGATCGAATCAGAGCGTAAGTTGACGTCATCATCAATGGCGTGATCTTCGCGAAAACTGCTGATTCATACCGCTCGGGGGACTCGTGGCACTCAACGTCGTGTGGGGATGGGGAAGTAAACATTATACATGGAGGGGTGTCGACGGGGAGGGTTGGGGGAGGAGTGGGGGTAAGTATCGGTTCATCCCTTCCTCCGTGATCGGGGGCTCTTCGTAGCGGATGATTCGGTGAAAGCGGGGAAACCGATCGCCGCTGTGAGGGAGGGAGGCGAGGTAGTCAGGGTAGAGGGTGGAGAAGGTGCGGAAGAGTGCCGCGCGAAACTGCTCGTGATGGCGACACGAGGGGATGGTCCCGGTGATTACGCAGTAGACTTCTACTGCGTTACTTTGTTGCCACACGACACTGAACAGGAGGACGTGTAGACAGAACGTGGGGTTCGCGGCTTGAAGGGAGGGGCTGGGATGGACGGTGACTGTGAGACGGGTGGAGTAAAAGTGCTCAAAAGTATTGGGAGGGAAGGGGTTGCGAGGGAAGGTGACGGGGGTAGAGATCTAGCAAGGGGTGAGGTAATCAAGGGGACGGCGTGATAACGGCCAGGGACGAAGGCCGATTCCCCGCATCGGTACGTGGACGAACTGGGGGACGGGTTGGGGTGGGGGGGGAGGGGGATCGACTCCGTCTCCGTCGCGATGTGCCCGGAGCCGCGGTTGCTGATCCGCCATCTTCGGGCTCGGGGGGCTCTGGATCACTGGTTGGATCGTCGTTGATGCACAGGCTCGCCCCGCTGGCGATCTCCAGCTGGTTTTCCCTGGCGGCGATCTCTTCCCTTCTTCGTGCCGCTTCGGGATCTTCCGCCTCCGTGCCCGTGCGCGCCGCTTCCTCCAACAAATCCTTCCACTCCGATCCGGCTTCCTCCTCTTCGTCTTCTTCTTCTAGCCCCTCCTCCTCCTCACTCTGCTCCCCTCTTCGGACGTTTCTTCATCGGCGTCGCCCTCTTCTTCAGTGGCTTCCTCTTCTCCTTCAGGCGCCTCGGGCTCCTTCGGATAGAAGGCGTGATCGATGATCCCGTACGGCTTCAGGTATTCCTGTCGTGATGGCAGGGTGCTATCACTCCCAGGTTCCTCCAAGCAAGCGGTCCACTGGAGGTACGGTGCCAATGTCCGCGTGATGACGTGCGGAGCGGGGCTGTCGTCGCTTTGCGAAACGATGTCGAGGGGGAGATCGTCAGCCAATTGCGCGAGCGGGACGATGAGTTCTTGAACGATAGGCTGGCGATGGCCTGGCCGCACCGATCCGAAGAGGAAGCCGAGAAGATCGCCTTCCATGTCCGTTTTCCAAGCCTGCAGAATCAACAGCTCCAGGTACTCGATGCACGCAGGCTGCTCACTGGTCCGCGTCCACGTCACCTGCACTCGAGACAAGCACACAGATAGATCGACAAAAGTCTCGCGCCACAGCCGCCAATGTCCAAGATCGTGGAGCGGAACGGCGAGAGGCTCGAGGGAGAAAGAAAGGCGAGGATGGAGATCGGATTGCCAGAAGGTGGGGGAAAAGGAGGGGAGACCGAAGGTGGAGAGAGGAGCGAGGGGAGCGGCGCGGTTCATTGGGGGCGTTGGAAGGGGATGAGAGCGGGGAGCGCGACTGCTGGCTGGCGCGGAGAAGTGCAAATGGCGAAGTCCGTCTCGGATGTCGGGAATAGATTGTACCCTGGACGCGCGAGACCGTGATGCCAATCAGTCGACACCTGCTGCGCCCACTCTCGCAAGGAGGTCAGGATCGCGGTATGCCGCAGTGGGCTGATCGTGCTGATGTCGCCACTGAAAGCAGCGACCGTAGTGACGTGGCTCGTCCCGGGAGCCGCTCGTCGATGAAGAGCCACCACTTCGGCCAAGACCACCGCTTGCTGACTCCCGGCGAATCGAAAAGCAGCAGCGGCACACACCCCCTCGGTGCAGAAAAACCGCGCTACCCTTCGCAGATCAGAACTAAGCCGCGGATGACGAACTTGCCGGATCTCGGAGATGTAGCCACGTGGCTGCAGCAGATGATCGCCAAGAGCTCGCTCTGTGATGAAACTCATGGCGAGGACGGGGAAGAAGATGAAGCAGGGGAGCAGGAGGGAGAGAGCGGAGCGGGAACTAGATTGTCTTTGTCCTCTTCGTCAGCGGACGAGGGAGATGGAGGGATGTCGGAGGGAGGGAGGAGACGGATATAAGAGGTATGGCGGACGATGGGGACAGAGCTATGGCTGGCGCTTGCCTCGGGCGCGATGCGCACCGTGTTGGCACCGTTGGGACCGAGTTCGACGACGCGGAAACAACCAGAAAACTTGGGARCGAGTTTACGGTCGCRTGCACATTTGCGTACTTGCACCAGGTCCCCTAACTTATATTGGTGTTGTGGGCCCGCATTTCCATTCCGAGCCTCGTAGCTACRGACMTGTCTACCGTGGGCCARTTCGGTCATTTTCTGTCTCTTCCGGGCCAATTTAGGCACGGCCCTCTCCATTAAATCGGCATACCTTTTGGCCTTGGCCTTAAGGGCGGCACGCGTGTCTCTACCCCCTGCTTCGGCAATTTCCGAGTTGCCCGGTAATCGACACAGGGGAGGCTATTGGTTCGAAGCTGGAAGGGGGTGAACCCCGTGGATTCATGGGGGGTGGCCCGGTGAATTCCGACGATCTGATATACGATCTCGGGCCAAGGATGCGTGTCACTCGCCGCTAGATTTCTTCGGAGGGCAATCTTAATCATTCGATTGGCATTTTCGGCCAACCCGTTGGACTTGGAAACGTGGGGTGCCGTATGTCGAAGCGTAATGCCTCTTCGTGCGAGTAATTCCTCTACCTCACCTTTGAACTCGGACCCATTGTCGGTTAGAATTTCTTCTGTATCGAGGTGAGTATAGAGAAACCGATCGATGTATGTGGCTATTTCTGCGGCCTTTCGGGTTCTACACGGGTAGACTTCGATATACTTCGAGAAATGATCAATCAATACCAAGAGGATGGAGTATTCGCAACGGTTGGGGCCAGGTGGCACGTCTATGTCAGTCGTATCCATACTGACCCGCTGAAAGGGCCGTTCTATCTCCGTTGGAACTATCGTATTCGGCCCCCGAAGGGGCGCGCGGTCGGCAACACATACTAGACAGTTAGCGACCACGTGCTTCACATCATCGCGGATATTGGACCAGAACCATCGATTTTGATCGATAGTTGCCTCGGTGACGCGTATCGCAAAATGAGCGGCCTGTTCCTCGTGCGCGGACCTAGTCCAGTCATATCTCTGAAAAGGATGGGGAACCGTCAACCATAGTCCCGATCCGTCAGTTTTACGCTTTTCTAGGTGACCGTTGATCCATCGGTAATCCCGAGATCTCTCTGTAGCCCGACGTCTGTCGTGCATAGTGAGATGGTCCAAGGGTAACCCAACCAGCTTAGCCAATAGGATTTTATCCGTCCAGACCTCCGCCCGTCGGTATTTCTCGTCGTATTCAGGGCCATCCGTACGGGCAGCCTCGAATCAAACCTCAGTAGGTAGTTTGTCCGTCCTACACAGAGGGCATTTCCATTCCCTACTACTTGTTCGATATCGAACACATGCACCGTGTGCACGATTGACACACGTGGCACAGCTTACCCATTCTACGAATCCGGTCTCAAAAGGATGATAATTCACCCCATATACCCGTGTGATACACGTGCAAAAATAGTAGAATCTGTCGGGAAGGGTGGCAAAGAAGGCCGAGCTTGCGAGAGGGCCGGAATCAGCAGGGGAAGAAGGGGTCACAGAGACAGGTGGGGTAGCCATTATGAGAGAAGGGGGGGAGAGAGTGATCAGGGCTGCAGAGAGGTCAGAGCGGGGCCACGTGTCACTCACTCCTTTGACAGAATTTCCACCTGTCCGTATCGCGGTCCACTTGCCTCCTCCGGCTCGTTCCACAGAATCACTTCTTCGGTCTTGAGGACCTTCTCAGGTCGGTGCAGTCGTGTCAACCCGTCAGCATTCCCGTGTCTCTCGTGCTTCCGATGACGGATGTCAAAGTCCTTGCTCTGCACGATGGTGGCCCATCGTCCGATCATACCCGAGTAATCCTTGGATTTCTTCAACGCCAATAGCGGTTCGTGATCCGTTACCAATGTAAACTTTTGACCGTACATATATGCTCGGAAGTGGCTGATCCCCCATAAGGCTGCGTAACATTCTCCCGCCGGGGCCGCGTAGTTGCGCTTGCAGGTCGGCACCGTCTTAGATGTGTATTCCACCACGTGTTCGAGACCGTCGGGTCCCACCTGAGCCAAAATTGCAGAAACCGCCTCCGGCTGCCAATCGGTTATGAGAACAAAGGGCTTCCCTGGGTCCGGCCTTATGAGAACTGGGGCCGAAATCAGGGCCGCCTTGAGTTCTCTGAAAGCCCGATCGCACTGTGGGGTCCACATCAACAGTTGATCCTTTTTCAGTAGATTCGTGAGTGGTCCCGCGATCGCTGCAAATCCCTTGACGAACCTCGATAATACGACGCCAAACCCAAAAAGGCGCGGACCTGCGTTATGGAAGTCGGTACAGGCGCGTCTTTCACTGTTGTCACCTTCTGGGGATCTGGTTGCAACCCCTGGCTCGTGACGACGTGGCCGAGGAAGGAGATTTTCGTGAGGAAAAACTGGCATTTTTCAAGTGCCACCTTGAACCCTGCGTCCTTGAGTGCGTGTAGTGCCCATTCAATGTGCTGCACGTGTCCCTCATAGGAAGTAGAGAACACAAGGATATCATCCATGTATACAATCACAAAGTAATTGATTATGCTTTGCGCCAGCCACGTTTTTCGCATGAAATTCTGGAAGGTCATATTCATCGCGCGCTGAAACGTGGCTGGGGCATTGCAAATCCTCATCGGACATCTGACCCATTGCCAAGTTCCTTCGAAAAGAATGAACGCCGTTTTCGGGCAGTCTTCTTTTCGAACCAGAAGATGGGGGAATCCATGTCGAATATCAAATTTGCTAAAGAATCGAGCACCACCAATAGCATCCAACAATTCATCAATCCGGGGAAGAGGATACACATCTTTAATCGGGATATCGTTCAGTTTTCGGTAATCAATACAGATGCGGATTCCTTCTGCTTTCTTTGGCACAATCACTATTGGAAATGACCATGGTCCGATAGCGGGCTCAATCCACCCATTAGCTTCGAATTCCTTGATTCTATTTAACGCGGCGGCTCTCTGTGTCGGTGAGTATCCATACGGAGCGCAACTGATGGGTGGATGATCACCCGTAAGGATCGCGTGCTCAATTACAGTAGATAGCCCGATATCGCTGTCATCCATACTCAGTACGTCAGCATAGCCATGCAATACGTTAATCAGGGATTCTCGGACATCCTTAGGGACATGATTGGGCATGGCGATTATCGTATTATTTCCCGAGCTCAGAGGCGTGTCAATCCGCTCCAATCTTTGCGATCGCCTGTTGTGGACGTTGGAAAACATTGAACTGCTAGTTCGGACCGAAAAGACGCTAGCGATCATCTGTGATTCTGCGGGACTGATAATTTCGGTTTCTTCAATTTCGGCATCTGTTTCACGGTCATCGATTCTTTTGGCTATTTCGATTCCCGTTAATTCCGTCATTTCTTGCATGAGATCCGGAACGTCGGTGATCGGGGCTTCTACCTTTTCTTTTATCAAAGCGATCACGACTCCCTGCATGAGTAGTGATCGGGGAAGGGAGACGGAGAGATCCAAGTATTGGTTCATCTGCTGATACCTCACTCGGAGGGACAGTGTACCCTCGTATAATGTGCGAGGGGGTTCCAAAAGATCGGCCACGTCTGAGTTGTTGTAGGAATCACCTGAAATTCCTCTTTCGCCTCGCAACCAAATATTTCGACCAACTGCTTCCACTCTTCGTGGCTGGGCATTGCACTCAGTTCTTCCTCGTACTGGTGCTCATTGAACTCGTCTTCCCGCACAAGGTATTCTGAGTTCGAGGGGGCTTTCTCAATATTCTGGATCACCCCTATCCGATCAATATCGGGATATTTCCGTGGGGATCGGGTGGAGATTCGGAGAGGGAGCGTCTGAGGTTTCCCTCCCGTTTGAGTGAGGATGAGTTGTCTTGAATCGAAATGGACTCGAGCCCCTACTGCCATCGCCCAGGGTAATCCTAACAATATTGAATAGGAATGTACGTCAATGACCAACGCATTTACCAATACATGCACTCGACCTACCTTGATCGCGACATTCTCGATGATTCCCACGATATTCATGGCTTCCTCATCGGCCGAGACGTAGTTATCCCTCCCAGGTAGAGGAAGGATAGAGTTCAATCGTCCAGTTTTTCGGACTGTGTTCAAGGAGATGGCGACTACCGATGATCCGGTATCAATCAGTGCATCAAAAGGTTTGCCCCAGACTTCACAATCGCATTCCGTGCTTTTCCATAGGACCGATCGCACTCGTACAAAGTGATCTTTATCAGCATAGGAGATAGCTGCGATTCGGGCTGGTTCAGGTGCATTTGTGGTGACTACTGGGGGCGGGGGTTCACCTTCGTTTTCGTCTTCTTGCTTCTTTTTCAGCATACGAGTGAGGTTCAGAAGCGCTTCACCTTCGTTTTCGTCTTCTTGCTTCTTTTTCAGCATACGGTGAACGCGCTGATAGGTGAAGCGCTTCTGATTCTTTTGACACTGTTGTAGAAGCTTGTCATTCGCGGCCTCGGATATACTCAGCAGATGTCCTACAGGGATTGGCACTCGAATATCTAACTGTTTGAGTGTCTGTAGGAGGTCGATTTCTCCTGTTTGAAACTGAGGTCCTGGTTCCGATGTTCGTTCGACCCAATCGAGCTCTTCTTTGGCGGGCCGAATTGCTCCGATCAGTCCGGCCAGCTGGAGGTACTCGGTGGGATCGACGACATCCGCGGCTTCAGAGGATCCTGACGTGGATGCGCCTTGATCACCCGAGTGAGGCTGATCAATGATGAATGGGGAAGCCTCCCTTACCTGTTCTAATACCGCGGCCACTCGTCCCTGGTTCAAAGCTACGAGTGTGGCCGCAGGAGGCGGCTGGTTGCGTTTCGGCTGAGGGCATTCTCGAGCGAAATGTCCTGGCTGCTTGCAATTATAGCATTCGACTCTTTCTGCTGGATTAGCCACCTGCAGAGGAGTGGCGGAGTGAACTGGTCCACCCGCGGGAGGAGCCGTAAGCAACGGGTACTGAGCAGGAACGGAGCGAGAGGGGCCAGAATAGCCTTTACCAGTTTGGTCATGATCTGTTCTAGTCGGTCCATTTGAGAAGCCTGCATTTGCAACAGGTTATTAATCCATTCGGATTGTTTAGTTGTGGCAGTGTGGATCATCTGAGCTAAGTGCAGGTTGGTGATGGGGACCGAGGCGGTTTCCTGGGTCATGACCGTGTTCTTCGGAGGGGGAGGCGGTCTTGAGAGGAGTAGGGGATGAGACAAGGAGGGCTCCGGGATAGGGCCGTCCTAGTAATCATGATCGGGCCGGGGGTAGAATCGTTCTACCGCTCTGAGCCAAAATCGCTTCTTGGCCGCCACATCTTGGATTGTATCCGATATATCTTCTTCTCCCTGTCGGATGTATTTACGTGTATCCAACAGATCCAATTCGAGGGCTTTGGGTATGTTGACTGACAGCTGGTTGGTCTTGGGAGGGGCCTTTTTCTGCAGTTTCGCCTTCAGCTCGGGATTACGAAGGTGATCGATGAACAAATCTCGAGCCGCGTTCTCTTCCCGCCCTGATTTGTCTAAGGCGGTCTGAAATCGATCCACAAAATCGGGTAGTAATTCCCCAGGTTCTTGTGGACGAGTTTTTAGTACAAACCAGGCAGCATCTTCACTGACCGCGTCAAACCGTGCCAAGAACGCTTGTTTGAAGGTATCCCAATCTACCCACCTGTGTCTTCTAAACCAATCGTGCGCAGTGTTTCGACGCAGCAAGGTGAGGACGCGAGGAAGGTCCTTCAAGCCATGCCTCCGGGTGAGTGTAGTTAGGATAGAAGGGAAAAGTGGCGGGGATGCTTACCATCACCCGCGGAGGCGCTCCATTGGCTTCGCCCATAGGCATCTTCGGTCGGGCTTCGGCAGATCTTTGCCTAGTGACCGGTGGACTGAGGCGGTTAGGTTGTTTAGCGGCTCTTCCTCTCGCCAGCTCGTCTCACTATTGTCATTACCGACACGTGTCGGCTCCGATACCAACCTCACGCCCCGGTGCTGTCTTCCGTTCGGAGTGTTGAGTGTGGGGAAAAGAGGCCCAAAAAAACAGCAAGATGGGGGTGTGCCAAGGATTTTTGGAAATTGAGTGTGGGGACACAGACAGAACTGAAATCCCCCGTGACAGTCCGATGAAGTGAGTTGGTTGCTTTTCACGCGTTGCAAAATGCGCGCGCAAATTTGGCGCGAAAGGAGAGAGGAATACAAACTCAATCCAAAAAGTATTGTCGTACTTCCCACCGTGCTACGGCCCTTCGTTTAGAGCAAAAAGGCTTCGGCACGCTTCGCGTGTCTCGCTTGCGTATTAAGTCACGGCGTCGCTCGCTGGTCAGTTCTGAGTCCGANAAAAGGCTTCGGCACGCTTCGCGTGTCTCGCTTGCGTATTAAGTCACGGCGTCGCTCGCTGGTCAGTTCTGAGTCCGACGTGGAGGGTCTCAGTCGTGTGGCTCTTTCTCTATGTTCGTCGTCGTTCTGTATACGGTAGTGAAAACCCTTGGATTCGTAGCGCTCAAAATGCTGGCACTCAGTGCACAGGGTGCGAGGCCAGTGGGGTTCCACTGCCGTCCACGGAATGACGATCAGCTCGTTAAAGGGCAATTATACCGAGTAAGGCGGAAAGTGAGTATCGATAATGACAAATCCAGCATCCACAAATCCTGAGTAACCGAGTAACCATCCAATTGAGAATGATACAAAAGAATAGTGAGTCAATGTCCATGCCCAACAGGGCAACACCAACAGCATAACCCAAATGTAGCTCTCTCTTGTGAATGGCGCCAGRCGCCCTATCTACTCTACAGCCTATCCTACAACTACARCAATGAAAGCAACYWGACAACTTGACTACYAGCGAGTGATGATGTCAACACCAATGYCGACCACCACCTCCACCAGGTACGTGTCCTCTTCCCCACACTCTCCCTTGTTACCCACACAGCGCCCTTCACCTCCGAAGACCACCTTCGCCCTTCACCTCTCCTGCACCCTCATGGCTATGGCCGCCAGTGCCTTGCATGCAGGCAGCGCCCTACCGCCTAGCGCTAGCCTGCTTCCTCTCAGCGCAGCGCTGCTCATGCATAGCGCAGCACACATGCATCCGCGCAGCGTGCCCGCAATGCCAGCATTGGCCAAGATCCCTGCCCACTCGCCCTGCTTGCCTATATGTCAGTGCAGCGTGTGGGCGGCCTCCCTTCAGCCTGTGACCGGGGCCCAGAGGCTGAACTCAGCCCGATACAGTTGGCCCCCCGGGGCAATACAGTTGTGCCTCTTTCATCAAGGCCTGCGGCCAGATTCAGATAGTGGGCCGATTTCCCTTTGGCATTTTCGGCCTCTATACCCAACATGCATTGTCGGCCTCACGTTCAAGTGCCCAAGGCCTAACTAACTCAGAGGCCCTGGGCTTTCAACATTTACTGAAACCCGAGACTCGGTGCACTCCAACCAATCTGGCGTGCTGCAACTGTATGAACCCCACTTTGTGAAATGTTGGCACAGAGGGCTCTTGTGGATTTACTGGCCCGCCTTCACTTAGGGCGGGCACGAGGCTTGCTGGGGCCTTAGCCCAGAACATGTACAACATGGCAAGGCCCTTTCTTGAGGGCTCATTCCTCACATTCCATCCCCCTTAGCTTCGAAAGCCGCTGAGATGCTTACTTCGCAGGTGCCTTCCCTTTCAGCTTCCTTTCATATTCTGCCACCGCCTGAGGAGTTGTCTCAACCAGTTCCTCCTTGGTAAACCACCGAACTTCTTTGGGATCCGTGTGATGCCTGAATCTGACAAGATATTCTCTCTTGGGTTTAGGAGGTCTTCCTCGACCCAACGGCTTTGTAACAGGCATGTCCCGGTGATCCACAATGTCATCGATGTCGACTTGTCCATCCATGGGTGGGGGCAGCATCGATCTCCTGGAAGGGAATTGATCAGTCTCAGCGAAAGGTGCAAGCTTTGAGGCATGAAAGACTGGGTGAGTGCGTAGGTGTCCAGGGACACGAATGACGTAAGTGGGACCATCCATCTCATCTCCAACTATATCTAGGACTTCCCAGGGACCAAAGTATTGAGGCATTAGTTTGCGGGAGACTCCGAATTCCTGTCCTAGCTCGCTAGCCTTGACCTTGACACGTTCCCCTACCTGAAATGTGGACTGTCTACGATGTTGATTCTCAGAAGCAATCATTGCTTGCTGAGCTTTCTTCATGTGCTCGACAGCTTCTTGCAGCAACTTCTCATACTGCACACCATAYTCCAGTGTGCCTGGGGTTGCAGCAGGTCGGTTTTCAGGTAGGAGGAAGTCTAACACGGATCTAGGCTTCCATCCCAAGTGTAGCTGGTTAGGACTCACACCGGTGCTGCTATGCACAACATTGTTGTACAAACTGGCGATGAGTGGCAACTGCTCATCCCAATCATCTTGGCTGGGCTTGATGTAATGCCTCAGCAAGTGCTGTACAACTCTATTCATCTGTTCGGCTTGTCCGTTGGCTTCGGGATGATTCCCTAAAGTCATTTGAAGTTGACTGCCCATTTGTTCCGCAGTCTTCTTCCATAGCTCACTTGTGAATCGGACGTCTCTATCACTAACGATAGTCTTTGGTAATCCAAAGTCCCGCACCCAGTTGTCCTTGAACAACTTGATAACATATTTTGTCCTGGCTGTCTCTGGCATTGGTATTAGTCTAGCGTACTTGGTGAATCGGTCGATGATGACGAAAATGTGCCTCTTACCACTCTTGCTGGTCACTAGGGTGTCCATGAAATCCATGCAAACACTCAATCCTGGACCATCAGGAATAGGTAAAGGCTTTAACAACCCAAGCGGTGCTTGAGTTCGCGGCTTGTCCCGCTGACAGATCTGGCAGGTCTCCACATACTTCTTTGCGTCATCTAGCATTCGGGGCCACCAAAATCGTTGTACTAAGTTAGCACTCGTCTTCTTGTAGCCAAAGTGCCCAATTGCGTCATGACATTCGCCTAAAAATAAACTACGCAACTGCTCACTAGATGGAACTACCAATCTCTGTATTCCGGCCTTATCAAGATAGATTAGCCCATCCACCATCACAAACTCCCTTTCTGTGGCCTTGTCTTTTGCCTAAAGTTTGCGGATGATGTCCATCGTGACAGGGTCTTTCTGATAGGCTCCCACCAATGATTGAGTTACTTCATTAGATACGCCAAAGTCAGAAACTAGCGCACCTAGGTAGTCTGCTCTACGGGATAGCGCGTTTGCAACCTTGTTGTACTCTCCCTTCAGGTACTCAAGCTTGAAGTCATATTGGTCTATGACCTCAATCCATCGCYTGAGTGCATCAGAAAGAGCCGGTTGAGTCTTGATCCATTTGAGGGTCTGATGATCAGTCCTCAGATAGAAGAACCTTCCCAAAAGGAAGTGTCTCCAATGGACAAGTGCCTTATAGAGAGCATAGAGTTCCCTTTCGTAGGTGGACTTAGCCAACTTCTTCGATGGCATCTTCTTACTCATGTACTCAATCGGTCTCAACTTTTTCCCATCCTGCTGACCCAGCACTGCGCCAATGCCGTATTGGCTTGCGTCAGTGGTTACTATGAATGGCTTCTACGGATCGAGAACCATGAGGACCTCATGATTCATGAGTGCATGCTTCAATCTCTTGAAAGCACCCTCGCACTCATCACTCCAGTCCCACGGTGTGTCAAGTCAAGTTAGATCAGTCAAAGGAGAGGCGACTGTAGAATAGTTCTTAATGAAGTTTCTATAGTAGCCGCACATTCCTAAGAATGACCTGACCTCAGTGACTGTCTGAGGTCGTGGCCAGTCTCGAATACTAGCCACCTTCGCATCTTCTGCCCTAATTCCCTCCGCGGATACTTCATGACCCAAGTATAGTATCTTAGTGCGACCGAACTCACACTTCTCTAAGTTGACCTTATACTTGTGCTGTCGCAGGAGTGAGAGAACTGTCTCAACATGCTTTGCGTGCTCCTCGGCAGACTTACTAAAGATCAGAATGTCGTCTAAGTAGACCACGACAAACTCTAAATGGTCATGGAAGATCCGATTCATAGCGTGCTGGAACGTACCCGGCGCATTACAAAGACCGAAGGGCATCACTACAAACTCATACAGACCATAACGCGTCTGAAAAGTTGTCTTGCGTTGGTCCTCAGGTCTTATTGCGATCTGGTGATATCCGGATTTCAAGTCTATCTTACTATAGTACTTGCATCCCTGCACCCTATCCAATAGGTCGTCTATGCGAGGTAGAGGCTCTGCGTTCTTCATAGTGATGGCATTGAGGCCTCTATAGTCAATGCACATCCTCAAAGTACCCCCCTTCTTCGGTACGAATAGAACGGGTGATCCGTAAGGGGAAGTACTAGGCCGAATCCAACCCTTCTCTGTCAGCTCCTTAAGCTGTCGCCGAAGTTCATCTAACTCGGCGGGGGCCATCCTATAGATCCTTCCCTTTGGGGTCTTACTCCCTGGAATGATTTCTATAGCGTGGACGACTTCCCTTTCAACAACTCTTGTGGGCTCCTCGAACAGATCAGGGAACTTAGCAACGACGCGTTCTATCTCTGGGGGTGTTTTAACGGCCTCCCCCTTCTCAGAGACGTAAACAAGGTACATACCCTCCTCTTTATTTTGCTTGTAGTAATTGTAGAACGCTGATGCGCACAAGCAGCCATAGGTATTTATAATACTAATAGCCTTGAACTTAGTCAATCTGACAGTTCGGCCATCGGGCAACTTATGCTTGAGCATGTTCTTATCCCAGTTGAACTGTGGCTTAGCAACTTCGAGGTAGTACATGCCTAGCAACATGTCAAATGGTAGGTCGTCGCTAACAAAAAACGAGATCTTATGGTTAAGCTCCCCTCCTCCATAGGAGAAGGTACAGACTACATCCTTGATGTAGTCCGTTACAATCATGCGCTCCTTATTGGCCAAAGTAGATGCTACAGGTCTACTAAGGTGCCGTACCCGGTCCTGTAGGTGCAGCCTTTCCAAACAGTCACGACGTATGTAATTTCGCGTGGAGCCTATGTCTATGAAGGCACCACATTTGCGGCCTCCTACATCGACCTCCACCACGAAATGTTCCCCTCTAGGACCTTTCCTTAGTGCCACCCAAGACTCACGAGGGTCCTTGTTTGACCACTCATTCTCTAAGTCTTCTAAGGCTTCAAACACATCTAACGTACAGAGCATAGTTTGGTTTAGTTGTGTCTGCGGGGTGACTAAGGGGTCATTAGCCTTGGCCTTGTCATGAAGTGGGGAAGGTATCAATCCCACTTCATCTTGAGTCGAAGCGGCTAATACTTCCACTGGCCCTATGCGTTTCCCGAGCTAGAAGCCTGGGAGTAGGTTGCCCCTATCTTTGGAGCTACCTTCTGCGTAACCTTAGTGTTCTGGCACTTGTATTGCGAGTGTTCGTATTCCCCGCAGTTAATACAAGCACCACGCGTTCAACGGTCACGCCACACGTCTTGTTCAAGACCTGCCTTTACCCACTCAACCTGCTTGGTCTGATTGGAGGCAGCCTTCCCTTGACCCCTAGGCTGGCCCTTCCCTCGGCCTGCCGACTTAGTCTTAACTACCGCGGCGAGGGTGCTACCCTCAGCTACCTCCTCGCCGTCATACTCTGAGTAGTCCATCAGGTCAGAGAGCTCATCGATCTCAGTTTGAGTCCCATCAGACTCAACCATCATCAACTTCGCCCCCTTCTTCTTCCACTCCTGAGGACTCTTCTTCTTCTTTGAGTCATTCCCTGAGGTGGGTTGAGCAATGCCTAGCATGGCCTCCAAGTCTAAGGCTTTCCTAGACAGTGTCTCAAACGAGTGGTACTCAGTGCGTGCCTCGCTGGCTAGCAAGTTCCTAATGTTCTCTGGGAGACATCTGACAAACGTAGTCAATAGGAACTGATCGCTGTAGTTGATGCCTGGGACAAGGATCAGGCTCTCAACGGTAGTCGTAAGCTCTCTAACTGACCTGAACTTGCATTGGTCTAGTTTGTTAATGGCATCAGTGGCCTTTTGAGACTCCTTTGGGTTATGCCATCGAGCTTCTACCATTTCCATGAACTGGTCTAATGTCAAAGACTTAGCCCAGTCCGCCATGCGTCTCCCATACCCGGCCTTTATAACTACACCATCTAACCATTTGGCTGCCTTACCCTCCAGGTAAGATGCCGCAGTTACCACTTCGTCCTCTAGCAAGGTTCTCTTGGCCTTCACCCAAACCGTGACTGTTCTCAACCAAGTGTTGAGTTCTTCGCCCTTTCCCTCGCCTGAGAAGGCAAGAGGTGGTTTTATTGGGATCTTAGGATACCATTGACCCTGCGGTTGTCCTTGTTGAGGACTAACCTGTTGTGGTGGTGTAGCAACCACCGCTGGACCCGAAGAAGGAGATGCAACAGTCTGTGCGGCTGCTGCAGATGTGCCACTTGGCTGTGTGCCAGCTTGAACCGGAAAGGGGCCTGACATCGCCGATAACGGCAACGACGATTGTGCTGGTGGCCGGAATCCTGGCTTTGTCAACGCATCCAGGATCTGGTCTAGAGTGCTCTGCATGAAGTCTAATTTGTTGTTCACATGTGCGTGTAATGACAACATATTCTTCTACAATACTTTCAGCGGGTCAGTCAATGCTGACTCATCCAAGCCCTCTAATTCAGCCTTGTCAGCCTCTAAAGTTTCAAGCCTGGCTGCTCTAGTTTTCATCGCATTTTCTCTATCGGTAGCTTCTTTCAGGTCCTGTTCTAACTTACGGCGGAGCATCTCGACCTGCTGGATCTCTCTGAGCTCCCTCTGACGCGGGGTCAACGGGCTGAACTGCGCGCCCGCCATTTGACTAGAAGACTGTCTAGATCCTGTGGAACCGAAAGGGCCCGAGGAACTTGTGGAACTCGTTGGCATTCCCAACTGGCCCCCATTAGTCCCTGACGAGGACGCAGATGATGACGCAGCAGAGCTTGCGCCATTAGCCATCGCTGCTGCTCTGGCTGCTGTTGCCTGCTCTCTAGCTGCTGCGTTTGCTGTTGCTATCCCCGCTGCTAGCGCACGGGCTCTACGTACCCGTCTTTCTTCTCCCGGATCTAAGGCCTGGAACACGTGCGGTACCCTTAATGCCCCTGCACGTGTTAGTCTCCTAATGTCATCTCTATCATCAACAGGGTCTGACCCACTCATTAGTTAGGCATATAGTATCTGCACTAGAATCCCCTGATGGAATCCTACCGCAGCATGTATCTGACCGGCACGTAATTTTCTATAAATAGTTGTGTCCGGCGAGTTCCCTACTATACCGAATCAAGTGGCATGTCTACAACATTCACACAGATTGTCTACATAGTCTAGATGCACCCTGATTGGTTCACTTACAACAGCATTAGTTAAAACTGGCTATGGCAGCATACAACAGTCCTACACTAATCTGTCTGTGAGGTTAGCAGTCCGTCAACCAACTAATCAAAGGTACAAAAAGACAATGTAGCAGATGTATGATTGATGGGTATAGTTGTGTACACAGTTGAGCTCCAATTGGAACCTACCCTCCCCTCAATCCAACATATCGAACAGCATCTTGAGCAAAGCAGTGTTTTCGTGTGTGTATCGGCCCACCCCTGTGCCCAAGTCAGTGCCAAGTAAGCCAGCCAGCCCACTCTTATTTACCCTCGTACGGAAACGAGCCTTACACCCAGATGATCTGGCTGATCGGGAGGATTATTAAAAGCGCCCCCATCTCTTCAGGAATTCTTTAACGTCGCAGTCAGAACGACGATCACAGCCAGAATCATACCGAGTACCCAACCAGAAATGTTTATAGACGGTTTGGTAAGCGTCTCATACAAGGCTGGCACACTTGGCAAGACTTCTATCTGAGCGCAGCAAGTGCCAAAACAGGACAGCAGCCATCGCATGCGTGCACTACTCCCTATGGGTTGGCATGGTGACCGTGACCCAGTGCTTCGACCAGGGCCCTTCAGAGGCACCGCCCTTTCTCCTTCCAGATGCTTCCGGGAAGATTGTCATCTCTCAAGGTAGCGCGCTCACGACACCTCACCAAGGAGAGGACTCTCAAGTTGG